TCGATCCCTGGGTTGGGAAGATCCCCTGGGGAAGGAAACAGCTACCCACTGCAGTATTCTGGCCTGGAGAATTCCACAGACTGTATATAGTCCACGGGGTCCCAAAGAGTCGAACATGACTGAACGACTTTCACTTTTACTTCACATGCCAGAGAGATGGGACTTGGGGCAGCACATGCAGTCCCCTCACTCCTAACCACTGTCTGTACAGCCCAGTCCCACCAGCACAGCCGCCCTTCTCCTGGGGGCACTGTGTCCACACCCCCCGGAGCAGCCCACTTGCTCAGGTCAGTCCACAAAGATGCAGGAGATGCAGTCCTGGGTAGGGCTCCCCTGGGTTTCTAGAGGAACCTTCCTTGCCTCTGTTTGGACTCATCACCCTGGATTTGGGGTGTGGCTCCTTCTTGGGATGAATAAAGTGAGGCTGGCAGGATGGCAGTTTTCAGAGCCTGCAGGTATTCAGAGACACAGGTCCAGAGGGGCTTGGCTGCCTAGAATATGTACTAGTCGACCCATGGGTGCCAGACTCCCAGCCGCTCCTTGGGGTAATGGGTGCAGGGCCATTCAGAGTGGGGACCCAGCCTGGATATTTCAGGACTTCCCAGAGCCCAGGAAGTACCTCGGTCCCTACCCATGAGGCCCTGCTCTCACTCGTGACTGAAGAACCCTGTGACCTTCCCAGGGCCCACCCAGCTGGCCCGTTTTGGCACCAGGGAGGGCAGCACCCCTCCCTGAGTCCCTCTCCATGGCTCTCTAAGGGCTTCTGGGTCATTCTGTCTCCATCTCCTCATCCCTTGGGGAGACCCATGCAATGGAGTCATCAGCCCCCAGCTTCCCAGAGCTGTTCCAAGCTGGTCATGTAAGCCCCCAGGTTGCAGAACCAAGGGTGGGGGCGATTGGGATACAAGAGTAGCCCCGGGTGCAGAAGGCCATTGCCAGCGTCTGCCTCAGGCTGCTGGAGGGGAGGGAAGGGCAGATGCTGGGACCCTGACACCCGAGCAGTCCTGCGCTGTCAGCCGGGGGGCCTCGCCTCGTAGGATGTGGGGCAGCCGGTCAGAACTTCACAGCCACTGCCCTTCACCTCATCATTTCTCAGCTAAATTAAACCATAGCCTCTTACCCTAGTGAAGGGCATGACCTGCTTTGAGAAGCTACCTGCACCGGGCCTGGCCAGTCCAGGGGCTTCATAGAACTCAGGAAGCACCTCTGTTCAGAGCCGTGAGGCCCTTCACAGCCCAGCAGGTGACATTCCTGTTGGGGAAAGACATTCAGGCCTTCTCCTTCCTGTTCTGGCTCTGCTCACAGCCCCTGCAGCTCAGCACAGGGAAGGGGCCCCCTCCGCCACACATGTCACCACAGCCTGTGGGAAGCACAGCGTCACACTCGCATCCCGTGAGGACTGCTGTCGTAGAAGAGACAAGGTCCTGGCACTGTTCCTCTGGCTGAGCATGGCACTTCCATGCCCAGACAATGAGATGCAGCCATGGAGGGACACCCGTGTGTCACTGGGTGGACTGGTGGCCTCAGAAAGAAGTCTCCAGCCAGCTGTGGTAACCATGGTGATGAGAGAGTGCCGGGGACAGTAGGCAAGTGTCTGACGTGTCTTTCATCTGGTTCCCAGGCAGCTCTCGGGGACAGGTTACCCCAACCCCACTCCTCCAAAACCACCTCCCTTCCCATTAGCAGAACAACAGCAGAAGTTCTCTCCGGTACATCATGTCTAGTACCCTGCGTGCAGAGCAACTTTACAAGTTTTGTTTTCATTATGTTTCCTCTCAAGAAGAAACAACATTTGACATAATAAGTCAGAAAATACCAAAATGTGTAATAAAATGAAGTACCACTAAGCCCTCCTGCACCTGCTCTCCTGAGCCAACATCAGCCATCTGGGGGACTAGATCTGTGCTTCCCTGATGGCAGCGATGCCCCCAGGCCACTGAGTGCGGACTCAATCGGAACATGGCCCATGACCCTTGACCTGTGACCCTGAACTCCTGTCTCAGCTTGTGGAAACATCCTTTTGTGCACCTGGCAGAATGCACATGTGTGGCTCTGTCTGTGCCCTGTGCTCAGAGGTGGTGGGAAGAGCCTGCCCTACCCACAAGTGCATTTGGTCCTGCAGGTTGAGGTTTTCCTAGGGGGTCGGGGCTGAGCCTTGCAGACCAAACCATGTCCATGTCAGTGCTGCCCACCACACCTGCCCAGCATCTAGTGTATGCCCACCAGAAGCTTTAAATGTCCTGTGAGCAGAAGCGAGGACACAGGGTAAATCTGTGTGAGAGAAGTGGGGCCATCTAACCCTGCGGATTAATGAGGAACCAATGGAGAAGACGTGGCACTCAGGTTTACTTCATTTAATTAAATGAACTGACTCCCTAAAAAAATTGTCACATTTTATAAATCAAATTCTGTTCTCTTTGACTTCTTTTAATTTCAGAGATAATTTTCCATAATTTTAATTGACTTTTAATTGGCAGCAGTTCTTCATTTAAGCTTTAAATTTCTTTTTCCTTTGGCCAAGTTTTTGCATTAACGTTCTAAGGAACAAACCCTCTAGGGACAGAAGCTATCATTTTATTATTTTTAAGATGTTTTATGGTTCTTCTGTAATGAATGTATATCTCTTTTATAATACTGGTTTCCAGGTGATTCTTTGCTAGTAGGCTACGACTTTTTATCAGGTTGTGTGTGTGCGTGTGAGTGCATACGTGTGTGTCTTTCTAATGTCCCCCTGGGCTCTTCTCTGATGTGCTGACCCAGGTGTGGACCTTGACAGCCTGTCTCTGCCTGTTTCTTTGCCTGCTGTGCCTGGCAGGGCTGCCGTGCCCGCTGAGCCCCTACTCCTACAGTGGCCCTTGCCACCCAGTTGGCAGGTGTAGATGGTGGGAGCCCGACGCAGGGCTGGCAGCCCTGCTGGTAGGCCTGGCGACTTGCTCTCCTGGGAAGGCTGTAGCTTTGCCAAGAAACTTCCAAGAGTCCTTGCCCACTTGCCCTGGGCCTGTCCTAACTGTGTCTCCTTCACCTTGATTTTATATGGAGCAGCTGCCAGAGCTCTGAGCTGGGTGAGACCTAGCAATGGGCACAGTCAGACCTCACCAGGGATCGAGAGCCCCTCCCCCAGTCCCTGGCAGGTCTTATGCAGGCCCCTCCCCACTGGGCATGCACGTCCTGGCTAACTCACCCAGCAGGACTCTCCGGCTATGATGCCACCAACGACACAGCTCATGCCTGGAGCCCCTGTCCCTACCCTGGTGCCCACATGGTCCAGTGACCCCATCAGGGTTTGCTGGTGAGTGTCTAGAATTCAGTCCCTGTGCTCTGAGAGCCTGGCTGGCCCAGCAGAGCAGCAGAACGGGCATTCAGCCCTCAGTCCCATGGGGTGCAGGCTGAGCCAGTGATGCCCCTCCCTCTGTTGTGTTTGGCACCACGGGGCCACTGGCAGGCTTGGGGACCCATCACGTGGATCTTAATTTTATTCACCTGGGTGTGCTTGCACACACATGCACATAGACACACATGCATAAACATGTGCACACATATACATGCATACCCATGTGTACATGCAAATGTACAGATACATACACACGTGCACACATACATACATACACATACTGATACAGTCACACATAGGCACAGACATTCACGCAGAGGCTCGCATATTCACACAGGCACACACATACACTGTTAGATTACTTTTAGAGTTTTCATCTCCAGATCCCACTTGATCACTTGATAGCCAGTGGGTTTTTGCCAGAGACCCCGCAGTGTTTGGGGGTCTGTTGCCAGCCTGGCTCCCTTTCCAGAGCCCCCAAGCGAGCGCCAGGGACATTCTGTGCACCTGAGCCGGTGCCCTCCCCCTGCTGGTCTCAGTTAGGAGGCTGTCATCCTGGGAGTCCCTTCCTCTGCATGGTGGCTATCTGGAGGGTGGCAACGCCTCCGAGCCAGCTGCATGGTGCCCCCTGGTGGCTAACTGACCAAAGCTCTCCTGAATGTGTCCCACATTGTCATCTCTTGGTGGATGCTAATCAAGGCTGCCCTGTGCCACGTTGCCCCCATGCCTGCTCCCCTCCAGGCTGGGGCTTGCCCATGCCAGCCGTGGTGTGCATTCAGGACATCAGCTCCAATCCTTTCCATCAGTACTAGTGCTGGGAGTAGAGAAAAACTTCAGATTTGTTCATACTAAAGTGTTACTGACTTAGCTTGAGGCACACATCCCTGCTAAGTGCACTTTATGGTGATTTCAGCACCAATGACTCCCCAACAGCTGGGGTGGAAAAAGGAGTCCCCATCAGGCCACTGTGGGGTCCAACTAGCTCCATGACCCAATCAGACGCTGTGGTGGCCATCACCGACCCGGGGCTCCATGTCAGACTCAGAGTGCCACCTGTTTCACACCACACCCCCTGCCAGCTAGCTAGTCCTCATCTCATGTCAGAACAGTCAGTTCCAGGAGAGCCGCCAAACTCAACACCAAGGCCAGCACATTGCCATAGAAGCACCTCTGTGTGTACACATCTTCCTCCTCCACACACCCTCACTCATACATGCACACACATATGTGACACACATGGAACTCGGCTCCCCGTATCATACAACCACAAACAGTGCTGTCAGGGCCTCCAGCTGAAGGTGTGTGGGATACTCAGTACTAATGTGGAATAACGACCCCCTCCCGCAGCAGGAGACCCTTGGTGCCCTCAGCTGGTGATATTTCCAGGCTGGGATGTGGTCCTGAGATGGGGGGTCCTGAGATCAGGGTTCCTGACAGCGGGAGTCTGGAGGGGGTTCCTGAGGAGGGGGTTGTCGGGTTGGCACCTCCAGGTCTAGGTCTGTGCTGGCATGTCTTCCACATCTCAGGAAAGGAGGGAAGCGAGATGGGAAAGCTTTCCATCTTCACCATCCTCCTCTAGGCAGCTTTATTTGACCAGGACCAGAGTCTCCTGACAGGGCCACACTCCTCACTGAAAGCACTCACCCAACTTCGTTTTGTGTGTCTCTAGAAAGACAGGAAGAGTGGGCTGCTGAAGCTGCTGGCCGGTGCATCCACCAGGAGGAAGTCGCGCTCCCCACCATCCACCTCTCCCACCCATGACCCCCAGGCAGTGGACGCCTCGCTCCAGGGCGCGGTGGGGCCCGAAGTGTCCTTGCTGTCCATCCACGGCAGGGCTGGGTCCTGTCCCATCGAAGGCGAGATGCAGGGCGCCTTGGGGATGGAGCCACTGCACAGGAAGGCAGGCTCCTTGGATCTGAGCTTCCCGTCACCCACCCAGCCGGCCGCGTTCTCCACAATTGCTGTCCGCCCTGAGCCCAAGCCACTTCCCAGAGAGAGGTAACAGGGGGAGCTGTGTGCTTTCGGGCCTGGGTGTGGTGGTCTCTGAGGCCTGGAGCCACTTCGGGGAAAGGGACGATGGGATCCCTGGGGAGTAACCTGCCTGGTGTCCCTCACTGTCCCAGAGACTCAGATAAAACAGGAGCAAGTCTCACATTCTGAATCCATCTGCGCCCTGAGTTCGGATTTACAAGGAAAATCTGGTAGAACTGAGGTGTTCAGAGCCCAAAGAGATGAGCTGCGCCCCCAGCCCCACCGGAACCTGGAGTGAGCCCACCCCAGGCAACTCTTCTGGAAACCCGGCCCCCTTAACCCAGATTGGCTCTGGATTAAACCATATGACATGGCCAGTATTTATCTGTTTGTCACCAAAGTCAGCGATTTCATAGAGTTCAGCCCAGAGTTTCTGGATCAAGGAACTGAGTTCACCAAGGCATCAGGTGGAAGGGCCAGAGGTTAGCGTCCTCTTGTATGAGCAGGCCCATTTGAGTCATTGGTCCTTAGAGAGCTTCAGACGGGTCGGGGGCCTGCAGGGAGGAAGTACTTTCCTTTCTGAGCACCTCCTCCTCCGAGAGCTGGTAAAAGGAGGGGCGTTTCCTGAGAACATAGTCCTGGTATCTGTCAGAGTCCCTCCCCCACTCGGCCACACTGACCAATGCCAGCTCTTCCGTGTGACCTGAGACACACTTCACACACCATGTACGCCATAGACACCATGTACACCAGACACAATACAGACACCACACACACACCATGTACACCAGACACACATGTACACCAGACACAATACAGACACTGCACACACCATGTACACCAGACACGATACAGACACCACACAAACCATGTACACCAGACACACATGTACACCAGACACAATACAGACACTGCACACACCATGTACACCAGACACACCATGTTCATCAGACACAATACAGACACCACACACACATCATGTACACCAGACACAATACAGACACCACACAAACCATGTACACTAGACATGATACAGATACCACACACACACCATGTACATCAGACACACATATACACCAGACATGTTACAGACACTGCACACACACCATGTACACCATAGACACCATGTATATCAGACACAATAGATACCACACACACACACGCCATGTACACCAGACACAATACAGACACCGCACACACACCATGTACACCAGACATGATACAGACACTGCACACATACCATGTACACCAGACATGATACAGACACCACACACACACCATGTACACCAGACACACATGTACACCAGACACAATACAGACACTGCACACACCATGTACACCAGACACGATACAGACACCACACAAACCATGTACACCAGACACACATGTACACCAGACACAATACAGACACTGCACACACATCATGTACACCAGACACAATACAGACACCACACAAACCATGTACACTAGACATGATACAGATACCACACACACACCATGTACATCAGACACACATATACACCAGACATGTTACAGACACTGCACACACACCATGTACACCATAGACACCATGTATATCAGACACAATAGATACCACACACACACACGCCATGTACACCAGACACAATACAGACACCGCACACACACCATGTACACCAGACATGATACAGACACTGCACACATACCATGTACACCAGACATGATACAGACACCACACACACACCATGTACACCAGACACAATACAGACACCACACACACACCATGTACATCATAGACACCATGTATATCAGACACAATACAGACACCACACACACACACACACCATGTACACCAGACAATACAGACACCACACACACACACATGCCACACTCAACCTCACACACCACACACCTGCCTTTCTTCCTCCACTTCCCTCCACCTTGGGGCCGCTCTCCCACATCAGAGCCTTCCTTCTTACACGAGACCAGCCCAGCTGCCTATGATCTCTGCAGGGGTTTGGCCCTTCTCCAAGGCCCACAGCTGGGCTCCTGGAGCATCTCCAGTCAGGGTGACAGGCCCTGCAGGTGCTGAAGCTGCCCTCACGTCTCCTTCGAGTTCTTTTCTTCTCAGCTCTCTCAACCTCCAGACTCCATGCAGGGCTTAAAAGACCCTGCTGTAAAAAAATCTCAGGAGTCTCTGAGTAACTAGAAAATTCAGGGAATTCCTCCCATTCGCTGACAGTCCTGGCTAATCTGCGTGTCATCCCTGGGGCCCTGGCTAATCTGCCCAGCACCCTGCACAGCTCGTTAGTGACCAGCACTGCCTAGTGCGGCCCTTGCCCTGTGCAGCCCTGCACAGACCTCAGGATGCCACGTCCTGGCCCAAACAGGCTGGAGCCAAGGATGTGATGACAGCAATGTCACCTTCAGGCCGGGGCAGCTCACCTGGCCTAAGACCACACTCCCAATGTGTGGATGAGGGGCGCTGCCGCTGGCCTGTCTGGTGCCGCCTGCATGCAAGCCATTTCTCCCTGGCGGTGATCTCAGAGGAAGGGCCTTTAGGTTGAGGGTGCTGTCAAGGGAGACTTCCCAGGTGTGTGTGGGGGAACCATGGGGAGCACCCCCAGGCTGGCCAGGCTCTCAGGAGGAGGCCTTGGGAGCCAGGGTACTGCATTTGCAGGAACCTAGCCTTGGGTGGTCTGCAGCACCCCAGCCTCTGGGCAGTACACAGGGAGTTGCATTTCTGGACATTGCTTGGGGATCAGGAAAGCTCTTGTCCGCCTGTCCTGCTGGGGTCGGCTGAGCTCCAGCCTGTACTCCCTCCCCGTCCTCCTCCTATGTACCACCGTCTGCCACTTAACAGCCATGTCACCCAAATGAGTGCCTTTGCTGTTTGAGTCCCAGTTCCCACACACAACATGAGGATGATGGTGCCTGGGGGTTATTATATTTGCAAAGCAGCTAAATTAGTACCCAGGAAAAGACGAACAAATTTGGTGTTCAGTTGCTAAGTCATGCCTGACTCTTTGCAACCCCATGGACTGCAGCACACCAGGCTCCTCTGTCCTTCTCTGTCTCCAGTGTTCGCTCAAACTCATGTCCATTGAGTCAGTGATGTCATCCAACTGTCTCATCCTCTGTTGCCCTCTTCTCCTCCCAGTGAACACCAAGGGCAAGGACCACCATAACAACACAAAAGATGACGTGTATGACAGTGTCGTGTGACATCAGTACATGACAGTGAGTGAGATCATGGTGGGGGGGTGGTCTCCCCCCTTTGATTGACAGTCCTTCGTGTTCACACGCATAGGTGGTGTGTCCTCACCTCCCATTGGCCTGTCAGCTGTCAAGATCTCTTGTGGGTCATGACAGGCGGAATGATGGCTCCCAAAGACATCTCTGCCCTAATCCCCACACCAAGGATAGGATGGCAGATGGACCGAGCATCTGACCCTAAAGTGGAGAGGTCATCCAGGCCCAGGCGGCCCATGTGACCACAGGAGTCCTCGCAGGCAGACAAGGAGCTCAGCTTGCCGTGCTGGCTTTGAGTCGGAGGAAGAACAGGAATGCTCCTCGGAAATTCTGGCAGCCTCTAGGGGCAGGAAAAGGGGAGGGGACACAGTCTCCCAGAGACCCTCAACTGTGTCTCCGTGAGGTTATGACGAACTTCAGGCTTTCAGAACTGCCAGATGTGTACCTTGTTACATGCTGTCTGTGGGAATCTGTCAGATGCCGCAGGGACTCTAGGCCCATGTAGACCTTCAAGTGTGGTGTCCAGCGTGTATTCTTATCATTTCCAAGGTCTGGTAGGACACTGCTGTGATAACCACAGTCCCTACCTGGGACCCCTCGTCCTCACCAGGGTCCCTCGTGTGACACAGAGGATGCCCCCGACCCCGCATGCCAGGCAATAGCGCCTGCAGCAGTCGAGTGGTTCCTGAGCCCAGTCTGCAGACTCGCTGTGTGTGTCTGATGCCCAACACCAGGACTGTGCTGCGAGCTGCTGCCCTGCCTGTTCTCTTGGCCCTTCAGATCTGCACTTCAGCATCTTGGAAGGATCAGGATGGAATCCCGAATGCTCATCTCATAGACAGTTGGTCCACGTCATCCATCCGGACTCTAAATCACGGGATTGCTCAGAAGCACCACATTAATTTTTAATTACATTTTTAAAGTTGCTTGTTTCACATCTGGCAGTTGAGGCAAAAGCTAAAACTTGTGAGAAATGATCTCACTGTGTTCTTTCCTTGGGAGGTTGGAAGGGAGTGGCAGGTGTCTGCAGAGGAGAAGGCGATGGTGGCTAGAAGCCAAGGGGGAGGTGCCGGTCCTGGTGGTCATGCAGCCTGGGTGCTAGGGGTGGGAGATGCCATCTGCACGGTGTCAGCTGACTTCATGCTGCTGTATCCCAGCAGCCACCCGGCCTCCTCCAGGGAGTGGCTGGAAGGCAGCTGCTCGCAGATATGCCAGAATTGGGAGGAGCTGTCACCCCTTCCTCACCCTGAAAGGAACCAAGGTGGAAACTGGCCCCAGCTTGCACACCGTAGGCACCTGGGGAGCTGGGCCGGCCTGTTCTCTCAGCACCAGGGCCTGCTCACTAGCCCAGCCAGCCCAGAGACCCCCTTTCTCTCTGCCCCTGCTTCCACTGCCTGGAGCCTGCTGGGACCTGGGTTTTCTCTGCCTGAGCATTTTCCCCAAGCCCCGCACCAACTCCAGCCAGACAGGCTGTCCCCCAGGCTGTGTGCAGCTGGTTGAAGGAGGATGAAGTCAGCCTTAATGTTTTCATTCAGCACCCTGGTCCTTAGACATCTGCAGGCAGATCCTGAGGAATCTTGTTCCCTGGTCCACTCCCCCACCAACATCTCATCCAGTGGACCCAGGGTGCCCAGTCTGTGAGCCTCACTTCTAGAAGAGCTGACCTGGGACCTCCTGCTTTATTACATCCTGATTCCTCCAGGTCCAGGAAATACCAGGTCAGAGGCTCTGTGGACAAAACCCCTTGAGGACCCTGGGGACCCCCAGCTGCCAGACTCCTTCAGGGGCCCTTGGTGTGGCTGTGGCTGATGGGGAGGCAGGGCCCAGGGCACGGTCAGGAATCTCTCTCCTTCCCCAGCCAGGAAGGGAGGAGGGGGTGGGCAACCCTCCTCAGAGAGAGGGGAGGGAAGGCCCAGAGCTCCAAAAGCAGGGGGTGACTGTAGAGAAGGGGTGTCACAGTCTGCACCTCTGGCCCAGGGAGGACACTTGGGGATTTGTGGGACTTGTGGGGCTGGGAGAACAGAGGGTGGCCTGGCTGAGAATGGCTCTCCCCAGCCCAGCCTCGGCCACTCCTTCTCTGCCGCTGCCCACAGCAGGGGTGTGGGCCAGACTGAGCCCAGGAGCAGGAGGTCCCTGTCCAGGTCATCTGTGGGCCAGACCAGTGGGCGGAGCTGAGCTGGGAGGTGAAGCCATGGGGCTGAGGTAGGTCTGGAGGGAGCGGGGACAGATGGAAGCACAGGTCCTCTTCCCAGCATGCTTCTCGTCTGAGCCACGTGGTTCCAGCCCAGGAGGGTGGTGTGGATGGTGGGCTGGGGGTGGAGGTGGGGTGGGGAGAGACGAGGAGCATGGTGAGGCCCAGGGCTTGGCAGGTCCATCAGGGAGACTTCGCTGAACCCCCATGCCCAGCCTGTGGTGTCTGTGGTTTGCAACCAGTGAGAACAGGTACTCTGATGGCCACCAGACCACCCAGAGTGGGGTGTGCACAGAGCCCTCAGCCCCCTGCCCAGTCATTACCCCCAGAAGGGCAGTGGGCATGGGGCCAGTGGGACACCAGTGGGATGCCTGTGTGACCCCCAGCTGGAGGGGTGCGACCAGCAACTCTGCTGGACTGGATGGCAGGGAGGCCAGGTCACAGCCATCTGCCCTCATCCTAGGGGTGCTTTAGAAGGCTGGTCCTCAGAGCTGCCTCCTTGAGGCTTTCCGGGCAGGTGTGGAGTACAGACCCACCCTGTGCCCTTGGCCAGGTACTGCTGTCTCAGATCTGGGGAGCCCTCAGGGGGAGGGGGGCCACCTGCTGAGGCCTGTGTGTCTGTTCCTGATCAGAGCCCAGGCACTCAGCAGGCAGAGGCTCCCACAGCGGAGACCCAGGTGGATTTTATGGCACGTTGGTCCAAAAACAGGGGCGGGAGGCCCTGGAACCCTGGAGACGATGGGCTGCTCGCTCACCCCAGTGTCTGTTTCCCCAGGTACCGCGTGGTGGTCTCATACCCGCCCCAGAGCGAGGCAGAGATCGAGCTGAAGGAGGGGGACGTGGTCTTCGTGCACAAGAAGCGTGAGGACGGCTGGTACAAGGGGACCCTGCAGAGGAACGGCCGCACTGGCCTCTTCCCCGGCAGCTTTGTGGAGAGCTTCTGAGGCCGTGCCTGCCCCCCAGGGACAGAGGTGCAGGGACCCCAGGGGAGCAGCCACCAGAGGCCCCAGTCCTTCCAGGCAGGTGGCAGGACCCACACACTGTGGGGTGGTTTGCTCCCAGGACCCTTCTTGCCCTCTACTCATGGGGCTGACAGGGAGCACGGGCCCAGCGCGTTTGGAGGGCGTTCTCAAGGCGCCTCTGGGCTTCACTTGGGTCTGGATTGCTCCTCACCCCATCTATACCTCAGGCACCACCACCGGGCCCCTTAGCATGGTGCCCTGGCCCAGGTCATTATCGGCCAGGCCCCTGAGGCAGCGCTCGGCTCCTGTGGGCGAGGTGTACACAGTGCTTCTCGCCTGCTACCACTGTCCTGCTCTCGTGCTTCTTTCTTACACCTTTTTACTGCAAAGCTGTTAGACTTTATAAATCTCTAACAGGTCGTACACTGCCTATTTTTCATACATCTGGTGCTGCCTTTTTGTAAAACTAGTCAGGACTTGGTTGAAAAGATCTCTGGGGAGACAGCAAATGGGCAGAACTTCTGCAGGCACCTTGTGAGCCTGGGGAGCCTGATGTTCACAGCCTCGGTCCTCCTAGGGCTAGAGCGGCCTTGGCGTTGGCAAGAGTTTGGAAAAGCCCATCTCTTTAGCCCTTCCAGTGGCCCTTGCCACGTCTGGAGATGTTCTGACAGGGCCGGCAGTGAAGGAACAGGAGGGGGGACCCCAGGCCAAGAGGCCCTCCTGTGATTGTAGAGAGGAGACCACACCCAAGGCTTCCACTGTCGAAAGGTGCGCTGGTCACCACAGTTCAGATTTGCCACCTTGTGGAGGTTTCACCAAGTTTCCTTTCAATAGATAACCACTCTGTTCTCAGTGCAGACCTTGGTCTCGAGACCAGAGACACAGGGCTAACCAGGGCCAGCAGGGGGCCACAGGAGCAGAGTCAGGGGTGGCAGCCATGCGGTGAATGCGGGCTCTGGCTGGGAAATGCTTGGCACTTTGCACAGTCACACACACGCACCCGTTGTTTCTGTTAGACACAGATGTGTGTGATTTTGGAGGAACGAACTGATGACAAACCACGATGCCTGTGATTCCGAGTCTTTAAATAAAACTGAACGTGGAGAAGTCTGGTTTCTGGATGGGGGAGCAGTCAGGTGGGGCCAGGCTGGGTGGGAGCTAAGCGGGCAGAAGACCCCCACATCCTCTCCACTTCCTGTGGGCACACGGTCCTGCCACCGCCAAGAGCCTCAGAGTGGGGAACCTGGGGTCTGTGTGGTAGGGTGGTAGGGTGGTGAGGGGATGGGGGCGCCAGACAGCCATACCCAGCACGGGGAGGAGTCCACTGCTGGGCCAGCAGAACTGAGCCTGGGTGGGCGTGGGCATCTCTAGGTGCCCTGCAGGGTCTTGCCTGCATGGAAGGGCAGAATGGCTTTCTATAGGTGACGCTCCTCCCTTACTTGCAGGAAGCCTTCATGCCAGGAGTCATGCAGGTCCTGTGGGCTAGGGGCACCTGGAATCGGCCTTCAGATGAGCACACTCACAGCCCTGCCTCAGGCGGCTGGGCCAAGGAGACCTGTCCTGGAACACCAGTTGTGGGGTGCCTGACACCCACCAGCGGGAGGGGTGTCAGGAAGCTGCCGATTTCCAAAAGGGGGCTTGTCACCAGTAGCAGGTGGAGGGCTGCCCGTGGCCCAGGAGCTGCTCTCCTGGCCTGGACTACTGCCCAGAACCTCTGACTTTCACATCACTGGAGCTGGAGAGGAGCTTAGCCCCAGGAGCTATTTCTCTTTTCTATAGGAATGGAGTGAACTTGGGGGTGGGGAGGGGAGGGGAGGGCTGCACTGCCCTGGTGAAGCCTCCACTCACCTCTCCAGGAAACCGGACCAAAGACACTTGGCCAGATGGGCAATGGAGTTCAGTTCAGTTCAGTCACTCGGTCGTGTCCAACTCTTTGCAACCCCATGGACTGCAGCACACCAGGCTTCCCTGTCCTTCACCAACTCCTGGAGCTTGCTCAAACTCATGTCCATCAAGTTGGTGATGCCATTCAACCATCTCATCCTCTGTCGTCCACTTCTCCTCCTGCCTTCAATCTTTCCCAGCATCGGGGTCTTTCCAATGTGTCAGTTCTTCCCATAAGGTGGCCAAAATACTGGAGTTTTAGCTTCAGCATCAGTCCTTCCAATGAATATTCAGGACTGATTTGCCTGAGGATTGACTGGTTTGATCTCCTTGCAGTCCAAGGGACTCTCGACTCAAGAGTCTTCTCCAACACCATAGTTCAAAAGTATCAATCCTTCAGCCCTCAGCTTTCTTTACAGACCAGCTCTCACATCCATACAGGACTACTGGAAAAACCATAGCTTTGACTAGATGGACCTTTGTTGACAAAGTAATGTCTCTGCTTTTTAATATGCTGTCTAGGTTGGTCATAGCTTTTAAGAATTTTCCACAGTTCATTGTGATCTACATAGCCAAAGGCTTTGGCATAGTCAATAAAGCAGAAATATATGTTTTTCTGGAACTCTCTTGCTTTTTTGATGATCCAGCGGATGTTGGCAATTTCATCTCTAGTTCCTTTGCCTTTTCTAAATCCAGCTTGAACACCTGTAAGTTCACGGTTCCTGTGCTGTTGAAGCCTCGCTTATGACATTGTATAGGAGGCAGTAGTCAAGACCATCCCCAAGAAAAGAAATGCAAAAATGCAAAATGGTTGTCTGAGGAGGACTTACAAATAGCCTAGAAAAGAAGAGAAGCTAAAGGCAAAGGAGAAAAGGAAAGATATACCCATATGAATGCAGAGTTCCAAAGAATAGCAAGGAGAGATAAGAAAGCCTTCCTCAGTGATCAATGCAAAGAAATAGATTGAAAACAATACAATGGGAAAGACTAGAGATCTCTTCAGGAAAACTGGAGATACCAAGGGAACATTTCATGCAAAGACAGGCTCAATAAAGGACAGAAATGGTATGGACATAACAGAAGCAGAAGATATTAAGAAGAGGTGGTAAGAATACACAGAAGAACTATACAAACAAGATCTTCATGACCCATGATGGTGTGATCACTCACCTAGAGCCAGACATCCTGGAATGCGAAGTCAAGTGGGCCTTAGAAAGCATCACTACAAACAAAGCTAGTGGAGGTAATGAAATTCCAGTTATTTCAAATCCTAAAAGATGATGCTGTTAAAGTACTACACTGAATATACCAGCAAATTTGGAAAACTCAGCAGTGGCCACAGGACTGGAAAAGGTCAGTTTTCATTACAATCTCAAAGAAAGAGCAATAGAGATCAGAAGTTAAATGAAGTGCCCAGATCTTCATGGCTCAATGGACCAACTCCCAAGGCTGGGCAATCAGCTGGGACCTCCATGGAAAGAGTGTGTTGGGCATGAGGGCGAAGGGCAGGCAATGCCTTCGGGATCTGCAGGCCACCTAGTGGGGTCCTGAAGGCAGGGAGGAACACATCAACCACTGACCACCCCTCCACTCCAAGAGCCACATCCAAGTCCTGGCGGGTTTCCCTTTGCTGGTTTCACCCCTGTGGGGAAGGACAGAGGTCACAGGAGAAAAGGAAAGCAGAAAGAAAATGCAGAGGTAATGGGCTCTGCCTCCTGCCCTAGTGCTTTCCTGGGCCTCAACTTGGGGTGGGGACAAGGTTCCTTCCCAGGGACCCCAACCCCTGGGTGAAACAGGAGAAGGGACCGTCCCCCTCTGAAGCAGGAGGGGGACTGGGAGGGCAGCAGTGAGGGGCTGTGAGTCAAGCGTATTGTGGATGGAGGCACGGCTCCCAGTGTCCCAATCCCTCTCAGGTTACAAATGACAGAGAGTGGCTGAGGTTGCTAGCCAGCCGACAGGAGTTGGGAGCCACTCTTGGCCACCTGGTGGGCCCAGAGTCATCACAGGGTCCTTGCCAGGACTTCAGGGAGGCTGGAGAGGCGCTGCTTGGGAAGGACTCGGTGCCCAGGGCTGGTTCTGAAGCCGGACAAGCCACAGCCTCTTCTGGCCCAGGTCGGGTCCTGAGTGACCCGGGGAACCTGCCCGGCCTCGGCTTCAGTTTAAGGAGCGCTGGAGTTGGCCTGTTTGAACCGGGACGGGAGGAGGGCCAGTCGGACAAAAGGAGAGGGGTCTCCTATCAGGAAGTGTCCGTAAGGGTCCCGGTAAGAGCAGAAAGAACTGCGGAGGAAGAGGCTCCAGGTAACCGGGAGGCCCCCAAGGGGGTAAGCACCGGGGGGCCGCGCCGCGGAGGGACCACTAAGGGGGCGGTTCAGCTAGGACTGGGCTGGACGCCAGGCCCTCGAGGAGGGGCGTACCCGGCAGTGGTGGGGACTGAACACGGATCAAGGAAAGAGCGCAGATCCCTAGGAAGGCGAAGAGCGGGGACGGAGGCGGGGAGAGTGGGTCGGAACAAGGGCTCTGCCTCCTGCCCCGGGGCTCGCCAGGGGCTCAACCTGGGGGTGGGGGCGAGGTTCCGTCCCAGGGACTCCACGCCCTGGGTGAAGCCGCAACCCAGCCCTGCCCACTCTGTAGTTCGCAGAATGCCTGTCCCCCGTGCCAGAGGCCCCTCAGGCCCTCGGCTTTTCGGCACCTAACTGCCCTTTTGTCTAAAAAGAAACACAACGGCCCCTTTAAGAGAAGACGTGCAGCCGCCCTCGGAATCAGAAAAACGGGGTCCACGCGATAGGGGGATCGCAGGCGGACGCTGCTTGGTCGCAGGGACGCAGGTGTGGCCCAAGAAGGGGACTCGGCGCACCCGTGTCCCAGGAGCACTGGACACACGTCCACCCGTCCACAGTACGTTCACGCACGACACCCACGCACGGGGCCCCCGCACGGCACGTCGACGCTCGGGACACAAGTCCATGGTACGTTCACGCACGGGACCCACGCACGGCACGTCGGCCCTCGGGCTCATGCACGGGTTTCGCGCTCTACTCTCGGGCCGCTGTGCCGATCCGGGAGGCAAGAGTTTGCAGCGGCTCTCGTTAGCTGGTTGAAGAGGCAGACGAGGAGTGGACGGCGCGCGTTCTTTTAAGAAAGGGGAGGCGTGGGGAGTGAGTGTGTATGTGTGTGACGGTGACGGGCACACGGGTGTGCTTCGTTCGTGTCGTGTTTCACACGAGAAAGTTAAGAACGCGGGGAGCGCAACCGGGCGGTGGGAGGGCTGTGTCTAGAGGTCCCTCAGTGCTGTTTTCTGTAACCACGTAAGTAACCGGCTTTTTCAAAACTTAATTTTCAGTGTAAAAGTCCAATGACCCGTTTTGAATGAAAGTCAGAAGCTGAGCCGCTGCTGCCTCTCGGGGCTACTGAAGGGATCCTCAGAGATCGCGCTCACCCGGCGGAGACGCCCGGGCTGAGGCGCCGCTCGGGAGGCAGCTTCTGAGCCGGCGGAGAGGGGGAGGGGCGGGGCGAGACGGGACAGGCCCTGGAGGAGGGAGGGGGAACCTGCGCCTCAGGCTGCCCCTGGCCCCACCGCCACACCTCCCCCCGACACCTCCCTCACACGTCTGCCCAACCCGGCCCGACCTTCTCCTCCCCCTGCCGGGCGCGTGGACCCTGGACAGCAGAGCTGGGCCCCGCTGCGGGCCGGGCCTGGGTGTGGGTGCGCTCTGTGTACGGTCGCAGACGCAGTCCTGACGCTGGTTTCAGATGCTGAGGCCTTCAACCCTCCGGGCTGGATCGTGTTTGGCGGCGGCCCTCGGGGAGTCGTAGGGCCGCTCTGTGGCCTGAACGCTGACTGGTCACGGGAAGAGGGGGCAGGCCCTGCAACACCACCAAGTTACCCACACCGTGGCACGTCCAGTACGTCCCTCTGAACTCAGCCCTTTAATACGCATCTTAAATGTGCGTCAGAGACCTAATAAACGTAAATCATACGGGGAATGATCTCGCAGCTGCTCTCCTGCCACATCGCAGATTTGTGTTTTTTTCAGCGAACTCATCAAAGGACCTACTCTTTATTTATTTCTTAAGTAATTTATTTATTTTTGGTTGTGATAGTTCTTCGTTGCTTGCATGGATTTTCTCTAGTCGCCCGAAGCGGGGACCGGCTGCTCTCCAGTTGCCGTGTGGTGGCTTCTCTTGTTCCTGAGCGGGGGCTCTGCGCACGCGGGCTTCAGTAG